CCACAACAAACCTACTTCTTTTTTTTTTAGTTGGCAGTCCTAATTACTAATAAAAACAAAAATTTTCTGAAACAAATTAGACTAGAAAAAAAAATCAGACTTTTTAGCTTTTCTTAATAGTTTAAAAGTACAAGAATAGATACTGTTGAGAACTCATAATTCAAAGATTTGAAATTCAACATGCTCAGAAATCCAGAACTTCCAAAATGGTACTAAAAAAGCTTTGCATTCAGACTTCAGAATTTTGGAGTAGGGATGTACAACCAGTGAAGCCTACACAAATTATTTTTTAAAAATCTGAAAAGGAGCTGGGATTTAGCTCAGTGATACCATTACCTGCCTCGCAAGTACAAGGTCCTTAGTTCGATCCCTGGAACAAAAAAAATTTTAAAAATCTGAAAAATTCCAAAACATGTAACATTTTTAGTTCCTAGAAAATTAACCTCTATGGGAAAACCCATCTCAAAAATAGTCCTCATAGTCTATAAACTTGCCCTGTAGATGTATAAATTTATCTCCTGGGTCTATAATTTCTGTCCATTGACCTTTTAAAAGTCTGTAACACAAAGAAAACAATGGTCTCTTTCACTGCATAAATGATTAACTTTAAAATGTGTGGATTGATGAGCTTTATGTCCTGAGCCATGAACTCTTGGGCTGTAGCTAAGGCTCCTCGTTACATTACACTCTGTTAAAACTTGTCAACACCAACCACTGCAGCCCTTCCCACCAACCTGTGGACAGAACCAGTGACCAAAGTGGCCAAGAGGGAGGAAAAGCCACCAGGTCAGCAAAGGCTCTGAGGAGGAAAAAGGAGATAAAGTGCACAAAACCATCTCCTCTGCAGCAGTGGATTTAGGAAACTCCAGGCACCTCTGCATTTGTATGGGTGACACGACACTTAGAGCCAGGAGGTATCACTTCAGTACCTGGCTCGTATCTCAGGGCCCAGACTTTATTCCAGCAGTAACAGAACAGGACCCTGCCTGGCTCCCCTACCCTTCCCAATGACAAATGCTCCCCCACCAAACCTGCAGAAGCCCACCAGCCCTGGGGTTAATAGTTCTCTTTCAGCCTGTCTCGCCAAGAGGAACAGAATTTCAGGGAGCACACTGCCACAATATACAAAAATTCTGATGAATTTTTAAAAAGCATAATGACAGATGAGTGGAGAGGACTGGGAAATACATGGCCAACATGTAAATTCAATGACTTCGAAAAGATTGCGATTTTTAAAGGCCCTTTGAATAGCTCTCTCTGCTAATAAGGGCATCTATATTACTATATTACCTTCACAATGATCAGGAATGGGAACATACACCTGCCAGCATGATACTATGGCTATTAGATCACAGACCTTCCACTCAGAAACAGCCACACCAGCCACTGAAGGCCACTGCAGGCCACTGCAGGGAACTCCACAGAAAGAAAGAACAATCCTCCACAGGGACCTGGCTTTCCAGGACACTTTTTAGAGCTTAGTAATCTTTTTCCATGTGCCAATGATGCCATGTAACCTACACATGGTCCAAGAATGGCCACAAGTTAGACTGTCAACAAGACTGAAATATTAATCACCATTCCATGGTGTGAACTAGGAACTCCTGCAAAAGCTTTTGAGGTCAGCTTTACTGCAGCACTACTAGAAATGTGTTTGTCTTACTAGGGCATCGAAAAGCTGCAGGCAGCATTTTTCCTACTACTACTCAAATATACACTCAATGAATAGATATTTCAAGCACTGATGGCTAACTCAATGGCTTGAGCAGGGTCAATATTCAGGCAGCTGAAATCTAACAAACAGGTTCCCAGGGAGGCATTTCAGTGCAGCATTAATGAACATTGGTAGATTATGCTCACTGTGCATGCACAAGGCTTGTTTTGAGCAAGTTGAGTGCATGAAGTTTCAGCATTCACACGAGATTCTCAGGACAAAATTCTCCCTGTGGAGAGCTTGGAGCTCAAGTAGGGCTGAAGTAGGGCTGATCACTGATGGGGATAAATTACTTATATAAGAACCAATGCTCATTTTCCCATCATAAATGTAACTAATGAATGAAACAAATTCAGTTTTATCAGGTCATAAAGATCAAGATTCCAAAGCAGTTCATAAATCTCACCCACTGCATTTACTAAGCTCCCTCAAAATCTAAACTCAGAGGTCAGATTTATAAATCTCCTCCATTCAGATGCAAGTTTTTATTTGTAACAGCACATTAACAATACATTTCTCCAAACAAATTCAGGGGCTTAACTAACTCCATCTAGGCAAAGGTATTCTGAGTGCATCCTTTCTTTTTCATTTAAAGGTGTTACTTCTGCTTCGGTTCAGTCCACCCACCATCCTCCAATTTACATTTCTAAATAAACAGTAACACCACTCATAAACCTTCAGTGGCTTAATTTCTAATGGAAGTCAAAACCAAAGTTCACAAACTACCTGAGCAGAAAAGACTGGGTTTGTGTAGCAATGACCTTTCAGAGAATCTCAACAATTTTACATTGATTTAAATTTCTTAACGTGCCACCCTGAGCATCTTCACCTCCATTAAACCATATAATCTGTATCAATTATTCATTTCTGGGGCCGGGGATTTAGCTCAGTGGTTCGGTGGCCTGCCTTGCAAGCGCAAGGACCCGAGTTCAATCCCAGGCACAAAAAAAAAAAAAAATTCATTTCTTTTTAAAGAATGCTAGATGCTCCTTTAGAGAATAATATACACAGTAATAACACATATTTATCAAATCTCTTTAAAACTCTTATTCACCTTTTAAGAAGTGCAAAGCTACATTACTAGTGGCAGGCCTCCTCTTCCACAAGGACAAAATGTGTTTTCTCCCCAAGCCCTGGCTGGACTGGGCCCTAATGTTTAACATACTGCTAACTGGGCCCCTTTCCCAAACCAAACCTAGGTGACCTCACCTCCAATTCTGCCTGCCTTCACCAAGAAAAGTGGTCCCAAAGTATGAATTTCTCCCTCCCACCTAACTGTATGAACATCACCTCATTACCTACAACTTTTCTAATTTTTTACTATTTTCTCTGGTACATTCATCTTTTCTCTCTCCTACTAAATCCTTTCCACTAGTCCAAAGAATATCACAGCTATAAAGGGAAGAGTGGAAAAGGGACCAGACAACCCTAGCCAAACCCTTGCTCTGAAGTGTGGCCTTCTTGCCATCTCCGTGTCTGAGGAGCAGGAGCTTGAGAGCCTTCCTCTTTTACCTTTCTGCATCCTCTTGGACACACCTGAGCCATCCCAGGCTTCCCAACCCTGGTTTTTCCTTCCCTTCATGGCTCATTCCCACGACCTCAATGACAGGTAGGGCTGGCTTTCCGTGGAATATCTTGGGTAGGCAGGCACTCCTCAGGCTAAGGCCTTGCCTGGCTCTTAGTGACTGCCTCTCCCTGTGTGCTCTGCATACTTCAGTCCTTGAAAAGGCTTGTCTCTACTGCTGGTCACCACTGCCAGACCCAGATCAGCCGACTGTGTGCGCTGGTCGCAGCCCTACTGACAGAGGATGAGGGGTCAAGACATCTCTTTGAGCATGTCCAGTGCTGCAGCACACCAGGATGAAGAACTCCGTGATATGAAGAGGAAGGTGACCGTCACGGTAAACTCCATGGGATGGCATAGACAATGACTGGATTCCTGTATAAAAGTAACTCTGGAACACACATTCAACCAAAAAATACTTTCTACTACAAAGCAAGCACAGTGTGCTGCTGCTCAGGATGAAGGAGACGCAGCAGCCTGATGTCCCAGGATAGGAGGCATAGGCATGCATTCTCAGCTCTTGGCCCCAGGCAAGCTGTACAGTAGTGACTGGCCAAGTACAAAGTTCTTTTGTGAACAAATGGATTACACAGCATGAGAGAAGAGTAAGGATATGTGCATGTAAAAATGTCCTAGATCTTTGAGAACAGTGTCATTCCTAAAGCTTGGTGTTCACAGTCCTCAAGCACACAGAAGGGTAGAAGGTGAGGATCCTGCAAACCTGGCATTAAAGTCACACGAGCAAATCACAGCAGTCACTCTCAGTAAAACTATCTCCAGGGAAGGATAATGAGAGGCGCTTTATTTTAATGCCTTACAGATCACAATTTTGGCAAAGGAACTGCAAATAGAGAATGTAACAATGTCACCTGGTGCTGAATGTGAGCTTTACACCTGAAAAGACCTACATGTACCCACCACATGACAGAAAATCTCCAAGTAAAAGTCCCTGCTTTAAAGAGTGACCTAGTAATTTACAATTCCACCACTGATAAAATTCTTACTTTAGCCTGTATGTTTTGGCAATGCTTTCTATATTTCTTAGTAAAGGCAGAGTGACTTTTACATATTTTGCACTAGGAGATAAAATTACTAAGAACAGAAAGGCATTGTTTTCCCAAAATATTACATAAGCCCACAAGAAGGAAAATGCTTTTGACCTCACCTATGATAAACATTTCAAATACCTTTCAGTCTATCCACTTGCCCCCCGCCACAAGACAATCAGCTAGAAGTGCACACTGTGTCTGCAGGACTCCAGGGCAAATAAATCATGGTAATCCTGAGACGACCCACTCAAGTCCCAAAACCTCTGCTATAGCAACGGATCCCTGTGGTACCTGTTCTCCAGAACTCTGCATGCTGGAGAGAGCAGAACTATACCTCATGGACACCAGGGCACAGACACAGCCCATTACCAAAATGGGGTAATTAGAGACAGTGACAATCACTGAAGCTTGCTTTCAGATCAACATTGAGTTTAACATGTAAACCTGCTGTATTATGATTTTACTGAATAAACATGGTTACTGGAATGTAAGTGAGGAAGTCTGGCTTCTTCTCTGCCCTGAGGGCTCTCCCTGGTCTATGGCCCAAGGATGGCCCACTCCTGCACGTAGGCCCTCAGGGCAGCTCAGTCAGGAGTCTTCTAAGGCTTTAGAAAAGGCACAAGAGAATATGAGGTACTGAGGAAAACAAACAATGGATTGTTACAGTACATACATTCTGGTGGAAGTCTGTTCTTTCTAAAAGCAAGTCTCTCAGTTTTCTTTCTGCTTTCTGCCAAACTAAACAGGACTCCGTAAACATACTGACGAACTGGCCTATAGAGCAGGGCAGCCGGAGGCAGGTCTTTGTTGGCTTCATCTTCAATAGAAACAGCAATTTTGATTTCACCCTTTGCATGGAAGAAAGCAGAATAATATTGCACATTTTTCATGTTGAATTTACAATAAACTCACAGAAATATACTGCATTTTCTCCAATAAATGACATTGTACTTCTACTCCAAAACAATGGCTTAACAACTGGCCCACATTGAGATGTTTAGGAGGCTTCAGATGGCAGTCTGCAGTCCAAATGTGCACTCAAACACTCAGATTAACCCGTGTTACCTTATGTTTAATCCAGAACCAAGAACAAAAGAAAACCACATAGATAATCCAAAGTCTTTGAAACAATCTAGACAGATAACACCAGACAACAAATAGAATAGAAAACATGGAGAACTTGCAATTTTTATTTTTAGAGTCAAGATGGTCATATGTAATAAGGTTTATGATTTTCAGTGACCTACATGCAACCCAAGGAATGAGTATTCTGAAAATGGTCATGTTTTATTTGCCGAGAAATTTCACACACACAGAAAAATCACCATATATTAAAAACTATCTACCTATAGGAACTTAAACATGAACTAGGCTTCTGCCTTGGATAGGTGCTTGATAAACATCTCATTTCAGATAAGGCCACAAACAGATGCTAGGACAGAATACAATAGCATGTAACCGGGCTCATTCCAGCTACTAAAGCAAGAATTTCATTTGGCTCAAGAACATGTTGCAAAAAGACAAATGACTACTCTGGCCTTGAGCAGTTGAGACTGCTACCAAAAAGCTGATGGTCCCCTACCTCAGGTATTAAGGCATCAACATATATCTCAACATACTCCGCAAGAATTTTATACTTTCATGCTCTTCAATGTCTGTTTAGTTTATCGTTGTATTATTTTCCTAATTTTGTAACATTTGGTCTTTTCCCAAAATTTAATTTCAAAAGTGATCATTCATTCCCTTTAGCCTCCATATTCTGATATTCATTGATCCAGTAGTTATAGCCTAACACTGTGATCTACAGACTATTTCTCTAAATATTATGATGCTGTGATAATGCTCTACATTATTATGAAGTTTCATGTCACTGCAAGTATCTCAGTATCCATTATGGTCTGAACTTTTCCCTAAAATGCTGAAAAAGTTTAAGTAGTATTTTAAAGTCTGAAAAGACAGCTTATTTTCTCAACCATAGTTATTTTGTCAATATCTGCCCTTAAAATTCATGAGATTGGATGGATTCTCATGTGGATCTGACTGCTCAGGCATCAGAACTGGCAGCACAGACACAGCAGGTGGCTCTGGGGCACCTGACACCCCAAACAGCCCCACAGGGAAAGGGTTCCATCTCTTTATACATTATTTTGAAAGATGCCTGCCCAAAGCTTTTGTCCTTTAAACTTATTAAAATCCTTCTCCCACAACAAAATTTTCACTTACCCTTTATCATTTGTTAAACTAAAAAAAAAAAAAAAAAAAAAATTTTAAA